CCAAGCCCCTCCTGTCCCCCAAACCCACGCAGGAGCCCAAACCCCTCTGTAACCAAATCCCCTCCGGGACGCCCCAAAGTCCCTCGTACCCCAACCACCCCCCCGAGCCTCCAAACCCCCGCCAGAGACGCCAAAACGCCCCGCCCAGGGACCCCCAAACCCCCTCCGCTACCGAACCCCCCGAAACCGGGAGGTGTCCCCGCAGCCGCCGCCGCGCGGTACCGGTGACGCAGCCATTGACGGCCGTCGGCTTCTGCGCCGTCACCACATAGTTGTAGGACATGTTTGGGGGTCCCGGGAGGTCCCGGGGGGGGGCCGCGGGAGGAACGAGGAGGGAACCGGGAGCGCGGCCTCTCCGCCGCCGCTTCCGGCGGAAATAACTTCGCCCGGCCGCTCTGGCCCGCTGGGAAGGTCGGGGAGGAGCAGATGAGACGGGGCCGCTCTTGCTCTCTGGGAGGACCGCGCGGAGCAGACGAGAGGCGCGGCTGGAGGACCGCGGCGCGCGCAGGTGCGGTGCGGTGCGGGGCGCGTGCGGGGCACCTCAGGAAAGCCGCGGAATTCCCGGGCATCCCGGCCCTTCCCGCGGGGAAGGCGGTGCGGACCCGTCCCTGCTCTTCCCCCGTGCTCGGGGGGCTCCAAAACCCTGCTGGGGAGAGGATGTTCCCACCTGTATCCCACCCTGATCCCACCCATATCCCGGGGGGGATCTTGCCCCCATCTCAAAAAGGGGCCCCTGTTTTTTGGGGGATGGCCCCCCCATCTCAAAAAGGGCCCCCTCTTTTTTGGGGGATGGCCCCATTCTTTTCCTCCCCATCCCAAAAGGGGATCCCTGTTTGGGCGTTGTCCCAACCTCATCTCCCCCATCCCAAAAAAGGGAATCTCTGTTTGGGGAGGTCTCTTTTTTGGGGAAGGGTCCCATCCCAATCCCCCATCCCAAAAGGAGGTCCGTATATGAGGGTGGTCTCCTTCTCATCCCCCATCCCAAAAAAGGGGATCCCTGCTTGGGGATGGTCGCTGTTTGGGGGGGGGGGTTGTTCCATCCTGATCCCCATTCCCAAAAATGGGATCCCTTCTTGACAGGGAGTCTCCATTTGGGAAAAGCCCAGCCCCCCATTCCCACCAGACTCCACGTCCCGCCCCATTCCCTTCCCACTGTCCCTGTGCCAGGACCTCCCCCATGTCCAGCCTGGACCTTGCCCTCTTTCCCAACAGATTCCAGCCCCGCATCCAAGCGCTGCACAGGATCCTCTGCTCCCATGGAGGTGAGGCCAGGACAGGGGGGACACCAATCCCCCTTTTTCCTCTACTTACCGTGCTTTGTTCCCCCAGACTCCCAAAAAGCTGGTGAACTCGGTGTCCGGCTGTGCCGACGATGCCCTGGCTGGGCTGGTGTCCTGCAATCCCGGGCTCCGGCTCCTGCAGGGCCACCGGGTGATCCTGCGGGATGACCTTGTGGCTGTGCGTGGCCGTGTGGCCCTGCTGTCCGGAGGGGGCTCCGGTCACGAGCCGGCCCACGCAGGTGAGACCCCGCAATTCCCACTTCCCGGAGCCCCCCCCGACACGGAGACAGTGCCGAGCTCCCAATCCCACTCCGCAGGATACATTGGGAAGGGAATGCTGACCGGAGTGGTGGCCGGAGCCGTGTTCACATCCCCGTCCGTGGGCAGTGTCCTGGCAGCCATCCGGGTGCTCGCACAGGCCGGAGCAGGTCAGGAATACACCGGGATGCAGCTCTGGGATTCCTGCCCGGAAATCCCTGCGCTCTCCTTCGCTTTCACCCTGCATCATTCCTGTTCTCTCCGTGTCATTCCCATTCTGTCTATGTTGTCCCTGTTGTCTCCGGGTCACTCCCGTTTTTCCCATGCCATCCCCACAGCTGGGATCCTCCTGATTGTGAAGAACTACACTGGGGACCGGCTGAATTTTGGGATGGCCCTGGAGCGGGCGCGCTCCGAAGGGGCTGACGTGCGGATGGTGGTGGTGGGAGATGACTGTGCCTTTGCCACGCCGGGAAAAGCCGGGAGACGCGGGATCTGCGGCACTGTCCTCATCCATAAGGTCCTGCCTGGGCTCCCGTATAGGCATTTTGGGAATTCTGGGAATTTTCAGGGTCGCTCATCCGACATTGTCCTTGGCAGGTGGCGGGAGCGTTGGCAGAGGCGGGAGCGGGTTTGGATGAGATTGTGGAGAAAGTGACGACAGCTTCCAAAGCCTTGGGTGCGTTGTGGGATCCTTTATCCCATAGGAATGCTGTTCTGTGTCACTCCAACCCATCCCTCCCAGTAAATCAGCACCATTCCCCCTATCGCTTCTGGAAAATCAGCCCCCATTTTCCCTATTCCGTCCTGGAAAATTAGCCCCATTCTCTCCTGGAAGATCAGCTCCATTCTCTCCTGGAAAATCAGCCCCATTCTCCCCATCCCTCCTGGAAAATTAGCCCCATTCTCTCCTGGGAAACCAGCCCCATTCCCTCCATTCCTTCTAGAAAATCATCCCCATCACTTCCTGGAAAGTCAGCCCCATTGTCCCCATTCCTCCTGGAAAATCAGCTTCCCCCCAGCCCCTTTCCCAAGTCCCTGCAGGTTTGGGGAACATTTTGCACATTCCATCCCGTGCAGGTACCCTGGGTCTCAGCCTGTCTCCCTGCAGCATCCCAGGATCCAAGCCCTCATTCCAGCTGGCTGAGGATGAGATGGAGCTGGGGCTGGGTGAGGAAGGGCTCCCTGGATCCCATTCTGGATCCCTCCCAGATCCCTGGGGGGGCTGAGATTCCCTGTTCCCTGTGGGAAGTGTGGGATGTGACTTGGTCCCGTGTCCATAGGGATCCATGGAGAGGCCGGAGTGCGCAGGATGAAGGTGAGGGGGATCCTGCTGTGTCCTCCCTATTCCCAGATCTCCCCGCATTCCCACATCCCCCCACTCCGCTCTTCCCACCTTCTGTGTCCCTTCCAGGTGCTTCCGGCGGATGAGGCCGTGGAGACGATGCTGAAACACATGACGGATCCATCCAACGCTTCCCACATATCCCTGACCCCTGGTGAGCTCCCCTGGATCCCTCCTGCCCCCCAGATCCCTGATTCTGGTCTCATCCCACCCGTCATCCCTCAGGATGCTCCGTGGTGCTCATGGTGAACAATCTGGGTGGATTATCCTGCCTGGAGCTGGGAATCGTGGCTGGAGCTGCCGTGAGCAGATTGGGTGAGTGTGGAGTTTCTTGGGATCCCATTCCCTGGCTCTGGAGCTTCTGGAATGACCTCCCCTGGCTCCCGGATCCCGCAGAGAGCCGAGGGATCCACATCGCCCGGGCCTTGGTGGGATGCTTCATGACGGCCCTGGAAATGGCCGGAGTCTCCCTCACCCTTATGGTGGTGGATGAGGAGCTGCTGCGCCTGATCGGTGAGTTCCTGGCAGGAATGTGGCCTGGGATGGGCACACAGGAGTTGGCAGGTGCTGGGTGACGGGACATGAAATGCCTGGGAGCAGAATTCCTGGCTGCTGGACATGCCTGGAAAGGGGACACAGCTGGGTGACAGACACAAGGTCAGTGGGATGTCTGGGAGTGGAATTCCTGGCTGCTGGATGCACCTGGAATGGGGACACAGGGGTTTCCAGGTTCTGTGTGATGGACACAAGATGCCTGGGAGCAGAATTCCTGGCTGCTGGATCTGCCAGCAAGGATCCAGCAGGATCCTGAGCCACCATCACCTCTGGCTTTTCCAGATGCCAAGACCACGGCCATGGCTTGGCCCAACATTCCCACGGGACAGGTGACCACCCGGAGAGAGGAGATTCCAGCGCCGATGGATGTTCGAGGGAAGCCGACAGATGAGACCGGCACAGGTTGGGAGCTGAAATCCCTTGTCACCCCTCCCATGCCTGGCTTTCCCTCAGGAACGTCTCATTCTGCAGGGCCTGGAGTGGCGCAGGTGGAGCAGGTCCTGGAGCGGGTGTGCAGCACTTTGCTGGATATCCAGGATAAGCTCAACCAGCTGGATCGGGCAGCAGGAGATGGGGATTGCGGTCACACGCACGCCCGGGCGGCCCACGGTGGGTGTGGGAATATCCAGGGAATTGCGTGGAGAGGGTGTCTTAGCTGGCACCGCCCAGGAGTGGGGAGTTCACCGGGATGTCCCTTCTTGGGATTTGGGAACCCTGAGGTGCCCCTTCCTAGGGAACAGCATCCCCATTGCCTCTGGAATGCCTCTGTATCCAGTGACAGCTTCCCCATGGAATTGGGGGTTGTCCCTGCTTGTCCCAGGAGTGGGGGCTTCCTCTCTTGGGATTTGGATCCCTGAAGTGCCCCGTCCTAGGGAACAGAGTTTCCACAGGGAACTGTATCCCTGGCACTGCTTCCAGAGGCAGCTGCCCCATGGAATTGGGAGTGTCCCTGCTTATCCCAGGAGTGGGGTTTCCCTGGGACATCCATCTGTGGGATTTGGGACCCTCAAGGTGCCCCTTCAACACCCTGGGAGCCACAGGCCTGGAATGTCTCTTCATCCAGTGGCAGCTTCCTCATGGCGTTCCTGCTTGTCCCCACGAGGGACAGGGATCCCCACGGGAGCCCAGGACCACCCCCCATCCCACTCTTCCCTCCATTCCTGCAGCCATCCGGGAATGGATGCGCTCCTGGCTGCCTCCGGCCACCCCATCCCAGCTCTTCTCCTGCCTGGCCGACCTGCTGCTGGAAAAGATGGGAGGCTCCTCCGGAGTGGTGAGTGGGAATAGGAATGCGGGGGGACACCTGGAAGTGTTCCCAGGGTGGGGGTGACCGTATTCCCAAAGCTCTATGGGCTCTTCCTGACGGCGGCCGCCCGGAGCCTGCACGGCCGGAGCGATCCCGCGGCGTGGGCTGATGCCATGGATTCTGGGATCGACGCCATGCAAAGGTCAGTGCCAGGGGCTGTGGGATCCCAGTCCCCCCAGGAATCCCAATCCTAATTTCCCTGCATCCAACACAGGTATGGAGGAGCCGCGCCAGGAGACCGGACGATGGTGAGTTCCAGAATCCCGTGAGATACCCAGGAGCCAAGGGGAAATTCCAGGGGGTGCCGGGGGGTTCCACCCTGGCCTCAGCACTGGCTCCCAGCCCTGTTCCTGTTTTTCCCAGCTGGATTCGCTGTGTGCAGCCGCAAAGGCTCTGCATTCCCTGCGCATTCCTGGGGCTGACCCACTCCAGGTGCTGGAGGCCGCAGTGCAGGTACGGAGAGCCCGGAGCTGGGATGGTGGGAGAACAGAATGGGAATCCTGGCTGTTATCCCAGAAAACATCCCGGTTTTCCCTGGCAGAGCGCCGAGGTGGCGGCGGAGGCCACCAAGCTCATGGAGGCCGGGGCGGGAAGAGCCAGTTACATCCACTCATCCCGGCTGGAGCATCCCGATCCTGGGGCCGTGGCCGTGGCTGCTGTGCTGAGGGCTGTGCTGGGGGCGCTGCAGGACTCCCTGGCCACCCCCCATTAGTGTTTCCCAAAAACCCTCCCTGTCTCCCTATAGCTACAGGGATGTGGATCCCAATAAACCTTAGGAGACCAGTCCCCCAGTGTCCCCTCACACTGACAGGGATGTGGATCCCAAAAAATCTCTGTGTCCCCCACTAAATCTTTGTCCCTTCTTGGTCACAGGGACGTGTATCCCAAAAGACCTCTGTGTGTCCCCTCATAGTGATGAGGACGTGTATCCCAATAAACCTTTGGAGCCGTGTTTCCCAGTAACCCTCTGTGCCCCCCCCCCAGCGACAGGGATGTGGATCCCAAAGAACCCGTGTCCCCCATGTGGTGACAGAGAACATGTATCCCAAAACATCTTTGGAGACATGTCCCCCAGTAACCTTCTGTGTCCCCCATGGTGACAGGGATGTGTATCCCAAAAAACCTCGGTGGCCTCCAAAAGCCCACTGTGTCCTCCCCACGGGACAGGGACATGTCCCTCAGTAGCCCCCTGTGTCCCTCTGCTGCTCCAGGCTGGGAAGGGGGATGGGAAGAGGGATCGCGTGACAGTGAGGGAGGAAGGAAACCCCACTCTGGGGTGCGGAGGGGGAAGCACAGGGCTCACATGGCTCTGGCCACGGAGGCCAGAGGGATCCTGGGAAAGGAGAAGCTGGGATGGGGCACAGTATGACCCCAAATCCTGTAGGGTGACCATGGGTATCTATCCCATGTTCCTGGGGAGCAGAGGAGCCCTTGGAAGGCACAGCTTGGCTTGACCAGGACCTGCTCCTGAGATCCCACTGCTCCCACCAGTCCCACCCTGGCTCCACTTATCCCCCTGGATTTGAGTGCAGGATTCCTGCAGAAGCCATTGTTTTATTCCATGGCCCTGAGGGCCCTGAGTGGCTCCATCCCTGTCCTGCTGAGCCAGATCCCCTGGGGTGGGAGTGACACATGGGAATAACACAGATGTTCCTCTTTGTCCTGACAAGGCTCTGGCAGCTGCAGGATGGCACCGGGAAGGGCTGGGGTTTGGCACAGCTGGAAATCCAGACAGGATCTGGCACCTGGAGGCATGAGGATACAGGATACACCCTGGGAGCGCTGGGAAATCCTTGGGATGGCAAGGGTGCAGGAAACACCTTAGAAGTGCTGAGAGATCCTTTGGGATCAGCGCTCGGCGGAGAGCAGGGGCTGTGGGAAGACAGGGATCAGCCTGGATCCTTCCCCACCCCTGGGGCTATGCTCCCAAAATTCTGCTTCCCAAACCCACCCAGTGTGTTCCTGGTACCTGGCGGGAATCCAGGGAGTTGGAATCCGGGCGCTTCCAGCTGGGCCTGGCTAGGGCACCTACCACCAGCACCCCAAAAAGCAGGATCAGGATTCCCAAAGTGTTGGCAAACACGGCCTCGGTGGGAAGGAGCTTGTACTGCGTGGTCCCGTTTTTCCTGGGGGGGGAAAAAGCGGGGCTGGGAATGTTCTGGATGTGTCCAACCTTTCCCTAATCCAGCCAAAATCCCACCCTGAGTCTCCCAATTCCTGCGAGGGCTCTCCTCAGTTCCCCCCATCCCAGCACTCACAGGCTGAAGAAAAGCTTCTCGTTGATTCCTGACACACAGGAAGCCACGGACAACATGAGGATGGTGGAGCCAAAGAAAACATGGATGGGCTTGTAGAGCTGCCGGAGCCAGGTGGGAGCCCAGGGAAGCAGGAACGCTCCAAATCCTGCCGCCCACTGCGGGAAAACGCAGTGAGGACAGGAAAGTGCAGGATGCCACGGAGAGTTTGGGGGATCTGGGGGATGCTCCTACCTGGCAGGAGAAGAGCAGGACGGTTCCCAGTCCCATCCAGCTGTGCAGGGAGTACATGTTGGGCGTCCCGTTGGAATTATGGAAGCAGAACACGGCTGCCAAGCCCAGCACAGTGAGGACGAAGGCTCCCAAAGCCAGGCCGCCGTGCAGCAGTTTCCAGGGAAGCTTGGGGCCGCTCCAGGTGTTGGGAATGCGGTAAACCAGAGCAGCTGTGAGGGGAAAAAAGGTCAGGAAGGGGCCATGCCGAGATTCCTGGCGCTCCCTGTGCTTACCTGCTCCGTAGAGGACCACCAATCCTGTCACCATCAGCACCGGGTGCCAGTTGAATGTCCGGGATCCGCCATCCAGGGAAAAGCCCCCTCGCCAGTGCTGGCACCAGGCGCTCACCAGGGCCACGCAGAGCAAGCCCAGGGATCCCAGGAAGGCACAGAAAGGTGGGAAGGAAATGTCCAGCATGGCCACGGAGCGCTGGTGGTACCTGGGGACGAGCGAGAAGCCGGCTCAGGGTCTGGAGCTGCTCTGGGGAGGAGCCACAGAAAGGGGAACTGGGAACCCTGAGAGGGTGGAGGGGCACAGGGAACCAAGGAGGGGGGGTGCCTGGACTGGGAAGGATGACAAGGATGCTGCTGCTTCCCAGCCCAGGAAAGGTGACAGGGATGGAGCTGCTTCCCAGCCAGGGTTGGTGGCTGTGCCCCAGCTGCTTCCCAGACCTGGGAAGGAGGTCAGGGATGGATGGATGGACACCCCCAAAAGAGGAGCCACGGAAAGGGGAACTGGGAACCCTGAAGGGGTGAGCAGGCCCAGCTGCTGCCTGGGTTGGGAAGGAGGTCAGGCACGGATCCAGGGGGTCAGTGGTGGCACCTGGGGACGGCTCCGACCGCGCTCCCAAACCCCCCGCGGTCGGAGCCACGGGAAGGGGAACTGGTGAATCTCGAGGGGGTGTTGAGGGTCCAGCTGCTCCCTGGACTGGCACAGATCCAGGGATGGAGCAGGATGTGCAGAGCCGAATTCCCAGGGAATGACAGCGAGGAGCTCTCGAGGTCACTTGTCCCCGTGTTCCTCCTCGCAGGGGGTGATTGGCAGGAGCCTCATTTGCATTTGATTTGCATGTTATTTGCATGTTCCCCCACAAAGGGCTATTTCTGGCCCCTCCGGGGGTGGGGAAAGTCCCAGCCTCCCAAAATCAGCCGCCCCACGGGGCATTGGGGCGGAAAGGGGTGGGCACGTGGGGCCCCAAACCTGGGGACACAGGGACTCGCGGGTCCCCAAAACCTGGGAGACGGGATCTCACGGCTCCCCAAAATCCTGGGAACACAGGCCCTGGTTCTGAAACCCCCCCAACCCCAGGCCAGGAGGCCCCTCGGCCCCTCCCAGATCCCGGAGCCGCCCCCGGTCCCCCCTCCCCCGGGGCCGTACCTGGGCCCCACCGCCACCCCCTCCTCGTCACTGGGCGTCGCCATCTTGGCGGGCGCCTCTCTGCCCGCTCATCTCTATGGTCCCCCCGTCTTCCCCAACGCGCCGCCAACGAGAGGGGCGGCCAGAGCGGCCCCGAGCGGGTGCTCTGGGCGACACTTCCGGCGTCTCTTCCGGGCCCCGCCGGCTGTTGCCATGGAGACCAAGATGGCGGCTGCGGGTCAGCGCCCGGGGCGGGGGACATGGCGGGGACCACCCGGGACCCCCTGGACGGGACACTCGGAACCCGAGGGGAGGGGTTAGGAGCACCGAGGGGCGACCCCGCGGGCGGGGAGCCGGTGGGAGGAAAGGGGGAGGCGAGTGCCCCGGAATGGTGGGGGGGTGTCTGTGGGGGAGGGGGGGGATGACCCCCTTAATTCCCATATCCAGCCTTTTTCTCCTTCGTATGCAGCCCTTCCTTCCACTTCCAGTCCTTTTTTCCCATGTTCAACCCTTTCCCCCTCATTTCCAGCCAGTTCCACTCCCATATCCAGACGTTTTTCAGCCTCCTTTTCCCCACGTTCAACCCTTTTCCCCTCATTTCCAACCACTCTTCCTCCTTTCCATCCCTTTCCTGCCGCCATGTTCAGTTCTTGCTCTTCTTCTCCCCCATTTCCAACCCTTTCCCCTATTTCCAGTCCTTTTTCTCCCTTTTCACCCTTTCCCCCACATTTTCATCCCCGGGTCTCCCCCTCAGGGAATGAATTCCCCATCCCACCCCTCTCCTTCCAGGACATGGAGGATCCTCAATTTCCCACACTCCCTCACTCCCTTCTCCAGCCAAGATGATCCCAGGGGGGCTGTTCCCATGGGATCCATGTCCCAGGAGTGCTGTACCTGCTCCTGTGTTCCCAAATTCCTGGCTGTATCCTCACCCCTGTCCTCTGCCCGGAGTGGGACATGCCCAAACTTGTTCCTGGAGCGTGTCCTGCCTGGCACTGCCCATGGAGCCGGGAATAACCTGCCTGGACACTGCTCCCTGGGATTATTGCATGGCTCCCTCATCCCTGGATTTCCTCATGTGGAGATTTGGGATGGATTTGAAGCGGGAGGGGGACACAGCTTGGTGGGTTTTCCTGGTTTTCCGGGATCCACCCCAGCTGCCAAACAATCCCTGTGCCCCCTCCAGGTCCTGGATATTGGGAAAGCCCCCAGGATCCATCCCACAATCCCTAAGCCCCCTCTCCAGGTCCTGGATTTCAGGAGAGCCCCTAGGATCCATCCCATGTGCCAAACAATCCCCGCTCCCCTTCTCCAGGTGTGGGATGTCAGAAGCAGCCCTGCCTAGCCCCCCTAGCGCCATGATCCGTCGGGAATGCCGGGGCTGAGCGCTCCAAGGCCTGGGAAAGGAGGATGCTCCAGCCCAGCAACTACAGCCTGGTGCTGTTCCTGCAGTTCCTGCTGCTTTCCTACGACCTGTTCGTGAATTCCTTCTCAGAGCTGCTCCGGACGGCTCCGGCCGTGCAGCTCGTCCTCTTCATGTGAGTGCCAGGAATGGGGGGGAAGGTGGAACATCCTGGAGATCCCAAACGCCCCGATTCCCGTTTTCCCGGCAGCATCCAGGACATCGCCATCCTCTTCAACGTCATCATCGTTTTCCTCATGTTCTTCAACACCTTCGTGTTCCAGGCGGGATTGGTCAGCCTGCTCTTCCATAAGTTCAAGGGAACCATCCTGCTCTCTGCTGCCTACCTGGCGCTCAGCATCTCCTTCCACGTCTGGATCATGGTAGGGTGGGCTGGGAACAGCTGGATTCTCCTGAGGGATTAGCCCAGGAGGGCTCCCCCTCGGCCCTCTCTCAACATCTTCCCCCACAAGGACAGTTTGGTGTCCCTTTCTGTCAGCCCCATCACAGCCCATTCCCAGCCCATTCCTTAAGGAATAACCTGTCAGAAATCATTTCTTCCCCAGGAAAAGTCCAGCAGCTGCAAGTCCCCCACAGTGACTGTTTGGTGTCCCCTTCTATGATCCCAGTATCGGAATCAGGCTGAAAGGGTCCTTTCCTGTGCCAGCCCATCCCCGCCCATTCCCTAAGGGAATAACTTGTCAGAAAATGCTCTTTCCCAAGGGAAAGCTTATTCCAGCAGCTCCTCTTTTCCCAGGGATTAATCCCTACACATGGGCCTGCCCTGTGTGGGCTCCTGGTTCTCTCCTGGCAGTGCTTTCTGCTTTCCCAAACAAATTCCTCCCTGGTCCCTTCCCAACAGAGCAGATCCTGCACCCCTCCCATCCCCTGGACCACTCTTTTCCCAAGGGTCTATTCCAGCTGCAAGGCACAGGGGATGTTTTGGGAGGGCTGGGAGCCATCCTGTGCCAGGGCGGCCGCTCCGGCACTGGTTGGCTGGGAAGGGGATTTTCAGGGATTTGCAGGGATCTGCAGGTCTGAAGCCGGAATAGGGCCTGGCTCCAGGCCTAAATCCCTTGAGCTGCTTAACTTTCAGAATGAGGGGCTTCCCAAACCACTCCAGGGGTTATTCCGAGCTGCATGTGCCTCCATCCCCCTCAGAACCTTTGGGATGGGGCTCCCCCAAACTTTCTCCAGGGTTTATTCCCATCCCTCTATGCCCTTCAGAATCTCTGGAATGGGGGCTCCCCTGAACTGCTCCAGGGGTTATTCCCAGTTCTCTGTCCCCCTCAGAACCTTTGGGATGGGGGCTCCCCAAACTGCTCCAGGGGTTGGTTATTCCCCATTTTTCCATCCCCTCAGAACCTGCGCTGGCGCGACTCCAGCCGCTTCATCTGGACCGAAGGCCTCCAGACCCTCTTTGTTTTCCAGAGGCTGGGTAAGAATTCCCGGGATCGGGGCTGAGGGGGATCCCACACGCTTCGGGCCCAAATCCCAAGCCTTGAATCTCCCCAAATTCCTGCAGCGGCCGTGCTTTACTGCTACTTCTACAAGCGGACAGCTGTGCACCTGGGAGACCCCCTCTTCTACCAGGATTCCCTCTGGCTCCGCCAGGAATTTGCCCACTTCCGTGGCTGATGGATCCCTGGAATCCTCTGGAGTCACCCTGTGCTTCATTGGGATCGGTCCTGGCTTGTCCTTCCTCCTCTTCCTCCTGGATGCTGGGAGTCAGTGGGAGGCTTGTGGGGTGTGCCTGCAGGAAAGTCCATCCTGGCACCACAGCCTCGGTTGGGGCTAGAATATTTTTGGGAACTGTAAAGGAATAAATGGGATGTGTTTTCCAGTGCCTCCTGGGTCTTTCTCTCTCCATAGACCCCCTGGTGTCACATCTGCCATCCCCACAGCCTGACCTTCACTGGATCCTGGTCAGCGCTGCGCTTGCAGCCACCAAACGGGGTTATTCCCACTTTTGCAGCGTGGGATTCTCATCCCAGTGGATCGTAGGATTTGGGAGGGCGGGGAACCCGAACCCCGGTCCCTGCCGGTCAGTCCTCCTAGCATAGAGACGCGCAGGTAGAGCGGCGGCGCGCGGGCTCCGCTCTGCGAGACCATCGAGACGGGCGGGTAGAGCGGCCCCGGCGTTGCGCTCGGCGCCCCCTGACGGGCGGGCGTGGCGGCGGCGGTTCCCATGGAGATGGAAGATGGCGCCCAGGGGTAGGTGCGGGAAAAGCGGGATATCGGGGGGAACCGGGGGTGGGATCGGTGCTGGGGGGCGGCCAAGGCGCTACAAGGGCTCGCAGCCCCCACCCGCTCCCTCCCGCGCGTCCCTCCCTCACGGCCGCCCCATGTCCCCTCAGGCCGCCATCGCTCCTCGGTGCCGCTGCAAATCCTGCTTTTCCTCAACGGCTGGTACAGCGCCACTTATTTCCTCCTGGAGGCGTTCGTGTTCGTGTACAAGGGTGAGCCCCCCGCTCCGGCCCCCTTCCCGAGCCCGGCGGGACGGGCAGGGATGTGATTCCCGCGCGGCTGTTCCCGCAGTGCTGCTCCTGCCCTATCCCGTCTCCAACCTGGTGCTGGACGTGGTGCTGCTCCTGCTCTACCTCGGCACTGAGGCCACGCGGATCTTCTTCGGTGAGTTCTCTCCTCCGAAATTCCAGAGGCTCCACGGGGAGTGCGGAGTCCTGGGATAACCCCGAAATCCAGCCCTGGATGCTCCAGGACATGCTGGAGGGGGCTTGGAGCAACCTGGGCTGGTGGAAAGTGTCCCTCCCTGCCCACGGCAGGGAGTGGGAATGAAATGAATATAACGTCCTTTCCAACCCAAAGCATTCCAGGATTCCATGTCCTAGTTTAAACTGGATACTGGGAAGAAATTCTTCCCTGTGAGGACAGCGAGGCACCAGAATGAATTTCCCAGGGAAGCTGCGGCTGCCCCATCCCTGGAAGTTCTCACAGCCACATTGGAGCAACCTGGAGTAGCGGGAGGTGTTAGTGATCCCGTTTATCCTGCAGGCTCCAAGGGGAACCTGTGCCGGCGGAAGGTGCCGCTGTCGCTCAGCCTGGCGCTCACGGTGCCGGCGGCGGCGCTGGCCGGCTACTACCTGCTGCTCCAGACCTATTCCCTGCGCCTGGAATTCTTCCTGAGCGCCATCCTGCTCCTCTTCTACGGCCTCGAGCTGCTCCTGGGCCTCCTGGCGCTGCTCTCCTTCTCCAGGTGCCGCATCCCGGGACTGGGGACGCGCCGTGGGAGTTTTACAGGTTGGTTTGGAGCTGACACATCCCTCTTTGTTTTTTTCCATAGTGCGGATCCCTACTGAGGCCACGGCGGGGACACGGCCCAGGGACACAGGGAAGTGTCACCGGTGCCAGCTCCACTTCCCAACCCCAGGAAAGGGAGGGATTCCACTTTTTCCACATCTCATTTCACCTGGACTCATCCCTCCCACCTTTCCTGCTTCCACCTGGATACATCCTTTCCACCTTTTCTGCTCCCATCTGGACTCATCCTCCCTCCCACTTCTCCCACTCCCACATGGACACATCCCTCCTGCTTTTCCCACTTCCCACCTCACCTGCAGCATGTGCCAGGGACCTGCTCCCACGCGGACTCACCCCCTCCGAGTTTGTGCCAGCTCAAGGTACGAAGAATCCTTATTTTATTTCTACGCTCTTCCGGAATAATTTGCTATTTTCCAATAAATATTTATTTTTACCTGGTGCCTGGGAGTGTGGGAGTGCTCCAAGCTGCCTTGGGAAACACAAGGGCCCCTCAGAGGATGATGTGATGCAAACCAGGCACTAAAAGCTCCCCAAATCCCTCCCATTCCCTCATTATCCCAAATCCCACAGCAGAAATGTGACAGGAGCGCTGTGTAAAAGACTTGACAACGTCATCGAGTTTATTACACAATTTTTCCAACCTATCCAAAGACAAATCTAATCACTGCGAGCAGGAGGGGAGCAGCTCCTTGCCAGGGCTTCCAGGGATTTGCTCTGCCATTTTGAGGGAATTTTTCCCCCCTCCACTATCGGAAAGAAACTAAAAATCTGTGGTGTTAAGTAAAAAAAACCCGGACCTCTCCTGCCGAGTGCTCCCACCTTGTGGGGCTTGGGAAATTGGGGGGGATTATTCCTGATTTTGGGACGAATTCAACTTAAAAAGACTTCCCAGAGCCTGGGTTTTCCCGCCCGGGAATAGCTCCAGGGGTGATTCCAGCCCTGGAAGTCACCAGCGTGTCCTGGCTCATCCCAACCCTCCTAGGCTCTCCCTCTCCTGCTCAGGGATCCCGAGGGATCAGGAGGGAACACGAGGGAATCGCAGCCTGCCCTGCCTCCTCCGCTTCCTCTAAAACAAGGAAGGCGCTGCAGGAGAGGCCGGAGCTGCCGTTCAGGTGAGAATGCTGCTGTGGGGAATGTCAGGATAGAGAAGGGAGTGACCCCCGGCCCAGCTCCAGCCCCTCTTTTCCCAACTCCTGGAGGGTGAGGGTGGAAAAGGAGGAGTGTGGCACAGTGTCCCACCATAAGCAACAGGGACAGGAGTGTCCCCAGGCAATCCAGAGGCCGCCATGTGGCTTCTGATCCCAGGATCGGGAGGGCTCCATCCCCTCCGTTCTCCCCCCTGGATTGGGAAGGGCTCACAAACCTCCCTCCATGAAATAAAAGCACCATTTCTCTTTGGGTCCGAGTGTCCACGGAGTGGAGTGGGATGGCCCCGGGAAGCAGCAGCAGCAGCAGCAGCAGCAGCGTTGGTGGGGGGGATTCCCAAGGCCACGAGGTGCTGGGAGAGGGCTGGGAATGGCTGGGAGAGGGCCGGGATGGGGCGGAGCGGCCTCGGGGTGTCGAGGTGAGGGGATATGATATGAGTCCATTAAAAACCGCTTCCTGTAGAATTCCTATGGGGAGAGAGGGGAGGTGAGGTCAGAGACCCCTTGTCCCTCCCCCCTGCGGCTCCGAGGGCCCGACCTGCCTCAGTGGTGCCGGTCCCTGTCTCTGTCCCTGTCCCGGTGCCGCTCGTGCTCCCGGCTCCGCTCTGGGAAATAATCCTCGTGCCGCTCATCACTGTGGAGCAGATCCCGGTGCCTCCGGCTGCTCTCGCGGGACCGGCTGGGCGAGCGCTCCCGGGATCGGTGCCTTTTCCTTGGGAAAGACAAAGAGGGACCTTTTAGTCACTCACCTGCTGGGAGCGTCCCCTGGGCCCCGCTGGGCTGGATCTCCAGATCCAGAGGGAGGATGCGGTTAGGTGGGATCCACAGGGATACCTGGAGCCGCTGCTGGAGCTGCTGCTGTAGGATTTGGCCTCTATTCCGTGCAGGCAATCCTTGAGGGAGGAGAGCAGGACACGGCAGCGCTCGTCCCCAGCCACGCGCGACTGTTTGATGACAGCGATGGCCGTGAGCAGCGTCTCGATGGCGTTGCTGTAGTCGCCTGGGAAAGCCGGGAGCCAAGGGATCAAGAGCAGGAATCCATCCCGGCACGGGGTTTGGGAAGGAGGAGGGAATTACCTGCGCTGGCACCAGACACGGCCTTGGAAATGGCGCTGCTGGAAATGGCGCGGTTGCGGTTCATGATCTCCTCAAACTCCCCCTCGCTCACAGCTGGGGGTGGCGGGCCCAGCTCCCGGCTGCTGGAATTCTGGGATTAGCAGGACACCCAAAGCCTCTGGGAGCATCCCACCCCTATCCTCCCCCACCGAACTTCCCACTCCCCGGCTCACCTGCTGTGGTTGTAGGGAGCCATGGCCTTGCCGTAGGTATCCGGAGGGGGTCCCAGCGCAGCGGTGGGAGGCGGGAAGAAGGCAGGATTGAGGTGCAGGGCGGGGGGAACAGCCCCCGGAGGGGGCACGGCCAGGGGAGGGGGCAGCCGGGGCGGTGGGGGCAGGAGGTGCTGGTAGGGAATTCCGGGAGGAGGTGGAGGGACCCCAAAAGCAGAGGACAGGGGGGGCGGAGGGGGCATGGGAGGGGGGGGCAGCCCCATGAGGGGCAGCGCGGGGGGGCGGCTGAAAAAGGGCAGGACCGAGGGGGGCTTTTCCATGCGGGAAGGGGGCAGTGCGCTGTCCGTCGGCGTCGCCCGGCCGTCCAAGGCGTCCACAGAATCCCGGGAGTGGGCCCGCGGAGGCACACCTGCGATCGGGACGGGGCAAGAGCTGTGAATTCCAGCTGAAGAGTCTCCAGCTCTCGGAGAGCTCCTGCTCCTCCTCTGCCTCCCACCCCCAGAGAGCTGGAGGTGCCCAGGGAAAAGATCCAGCCGGCCGAATGTAGCGTCTGCTTCCATGGATTTTTCCAAGAGCTCTCCAAGAACCCACACGGTGCCCTGGGGGACAGGGAGGACGCAGGGACAGGAGCCAAAAGCCACAAGGAGCGGGGGAAGATTCCCAAACACCCAGAAAGCCTGATCCACATGTGGATTTTGGAAGGCCCAAGCACGGAGGAGCACAGGGTGAGAACTGACAGCATTGGAACTGCTGCCAGAGGAAGGAAAACTTGGCATTCCAAGAGGGAGAAGAAGCCTTGCTCTACCCAAAGAGGCTTTGAGGATAAGAAAGGAGGGGTTTCAGGGAGCCACAGCTCCCAAAGGATCCATGGAAGCTCTGCTGTGCCCTGGGGGCACCTGGAACTCTCAGGGATCACCCCCTGCTCCACTAGAACTCCAGGGACAAGGAAGAGGGGTTTTCCTTGTACCAAACATGCCATGGGACCTACAAAGACCTCCTTGGACACTCCTGCCAGGACAATCCCTGCGGATCCCGTCGCATCACTGCGGAGTGAGGCCAGGACCACCTATTGCCATACGGCCAGGTCCCAGCTGGAATATTCCTCCAGTGTTGGGCACCTTACCTCCGCAGGGATGGAAAAACTCTGGAGCAGATCCAGATTGGAGCTACTAATAGATATGGAGGGTCTTAGCTATGCCCAGAGCCTGAAGAGCTTAAGCCCATTCAGTTTGGAGAGGAGGAGAAGGAGGCTACGAGGGATCTTCGCAGTGTGGGAGCACCTAAAAGGGGATCATAAAGACTCGGGTCAGGAGCTAATCCGGCTGAGGAACGGGAAAAACAACCCCCACGCACTCCTGCTTTTCCCCCCATCCCGAGGGCTCGCTGGGCCTGGCAGCTGATCCGGGGGGGAATTTGGGGGGCTGTGTGCGCTGTGGATCCCCCCGCCCACGCCGTTCCAACGCCGCACTCACGTTTGCGAGCCTGGGCCTCGAACTGGGACAGGTTCTGCCGGGTGGCCAACCTCACCTCCACCTTGTCTCCATTCAGGATCTTCCCGGGAAGGAGCTCCAGGAGTTTGTGCACCGAGTTCTCGGAGGCCACCACCACCTCTGCGTACCTGCGTGGGACAGAGGGAGGTTCACCCCCTGCTTGAGGTGAGGGACCCCCTTCCCAAATCCCACCCCCCCAACAGAGCCTGCAGAACCCCATTCCTGATCCCATCCTGGTGTTCCATGCTCCCTCCTCCCTTTTCCATTCACTTTGGGAGTCTCTGGGTGCATCCCCTGTGCCAGGGTGGAAAAGCACCCTCACCCCTCCCCAAACCAAGGGAGGTGCCGGCTGGCCCCGCTCCCACCCCAATCCCGCCTGCTCTCACCCCTTGGATTGGCCATTGGCTCGGTTTTCCGCAAATTTCAGCTCCACCACGTCGTAGACTCCGACGGAGCGGATGGTCTGGATCAGCTGCTGGTCTGTCGTCCACTGAAGGAACAGGGAATGGGATGCCTGTCCATCCCCAGTGTCCCCTGCCCCGCACCGGGAACGTCACCCCCAGAGTCCCTCAGGGAGCTTAAAATCCTCCTCAGCTCTGGAAAAAGCCCTGGGAATGGGTATCAGAGCTCTCCCCGTTCTCTGGGCAAGCCGGAGCCATCCCAAAATTCTCCCTGTGGAAAAAGGGGATTTGGGAGCAGCTCCCAAAGGTCCCACCAATGGAGGGGCACTCCCCTAAAAAACCCTGGAGCCCCCCCAAAGAGCTGAGAACCCCCCCCAAAAAAGCCCTGCAGCCCCTCAGGGGTTTCTCTGGAGCTCTCAGGGCTACAAATCCCTTTTCCCTCAGGATCACAAGGCCAAAAGATCCCGACAGCTTCTTGGGGTGGGGGGAGTTTCGCCCAGAATCCCAAATTCCCTGGGAGGGTTTTCCGGATCCTCCGTGGCCTCACCCACGAGAAGCTCCCGACATAGACGGCGGCCCTCTTGTTGCGAAGCCCGCTGTAGGTGTAGAGGATGGCCGGGGGTTTGCTGTTGGGCTTGGGAGACGGCTCTGACCGCAGCTCCGGCAGCGCTTCCGAGCCTCCGGAACGCTTCTCCTGAGGCTGGGAGTTGACCGTCAGCACGTCGTCGTACAGGTCCATCTGGTCAGCATTACTGAACTCCGCGTCCTGCCGGGAAAGCATCTTTGAAAAAGGCTCAGGAAGCCTCCTCTCCCCCTTTCCAAACGGGCTGTCCCAATTCCCGCCCAAATCGCTCAGTTTGAGTCTGTGCACGGTTGGGAATTACGGCTGCCCCTCACCTGGGCAATCCCAAAAACATGGGCTCCGCTTTCATGGAATCATGGAATCCTGGAATGGTTTGGATGGGAATAGAGTAGGATCCTTAAGGATCATCCATTCCCACCCCTACCTCCCACCTTCCCCTAATGGGAGCTCCCAGGGATGGCTGAGCTTAAATCCTTTGGGAAGGATGTGTAAATCCTGGGGGATATGGAGACGAGGCCACTTGGATTTTGGGGCTGAAGCAGAAGTTAGAATCAGAATCCTGGAATGGTTTGGGACTTTAAGGACTATCTCATCCATCTTCCACTATTCCAGGTTGTTCCAAGCCCTTTTCCAAGCTGGCCTTGGACACTTCCAGGGATGGGGCAGCCACAGCTTCCCTGGAAAATCAATTCCAGGGCCTCACCGCCCTCACAGGGAAGAATTTCTTCCCAATATCCCAAACCCCCCACTGAGCTCAGGCACATTCCAAGGACCAGCCCACTTGGATTTCAGCTTTCCCAAACAGGACAAGACCCAAGTTGCTGCTCCTGGAAACCACCAGGAAGAAATTCCCACTTTGGAGGGCAAGGAAACCAAGCGCCCTCCAGGGATGAGCCTCTCCCTCCTTCGCAGCTCATGCTTCCCGAAATTCCAGCTTGGGAGCTGCACACCCCCTCAATCCCTTTGGGAGAATCCATCCCATGGGATCGAGGCACAGGGCTGGTGTCCGATAAAAACCAGAGGTTCTGCTCCCAAATTTTGAATTCCAGGCAGTTTGGATAGATAATGTTTTCCACTGGAAATGGTGTGAGGTGGATAAACCCACACTGAGAGTCAGGGAATTGCAAACATCCCGCTGGGAGCAAGAGGGAGAAGGATCCTCAGGACAGGGATCATGGAAATCCTAAAATCCAACTGTTTTCCCTCTTCCTGAACCTTTGCATCCGGCTCTTCCCACAGAGCTGACAAAAAGCAGGAGCTGAAAAGGGAGCTGGAGTTTTGTGCTCATTCCCAAGAAAGCTCAAGTGTTTAGTTATTCCCATTCCCACGTTCCTACCTCCACTAGGAGCCTTTGGACACAGCCCAAGGCTGGAAGGTTCCTGCCTGGAAGTTTCAGAAAGTGGAGAGCAAAAATAGGAAGGAGGAGGAATCACTTGGAATCCCTAAGGATACGTGGAGGATGCCTCAGCTTGGGAGTTTATTGGGATCTTCCGGCTCCCAATCCAGGTGCACAGGGATAAAGCCCTGTGGGCACTGTTAGTAGGATTTCGAATTACACTGGCATCCCTGGAATGCCACAGGGACACCACAATATGGATTCACTCTGGGTTTCCTGCTCCCACACGTCCCGAAGGGAGCGAGGTGCCAGAGCTGTTGGCATGGATCATCATTCCAGCTTTGAGGATCCTCTTGGTTAATCAAGGCCCTTTGGTGTATTGTTCCCAAAATTCCCAGTTAAATCCTGTTTATCCTAGCTTGCTCCCATCCTCCTCCTACCCACTTCACTTCCTTATTCCCAGAGATCCCAAAGATTTCACTAAAACCACCCCAGACCCTCCGAGCTCCTCAGAAAACATTCCCACGTCAACTCCAGCCATGGATTCTCCCACTTTTCCACTTTCCACCCTCATTCCTGCAGTTTTCCAGCTCTCCCAACTCCAGGCATACCTTTTTTCCAATGCAAATTTCATAAAAACACACAAATTGAGGCCATTCCTAATCCGCAGCCATTCAGTCCCAGTGCAAGGTAATTCAATACACTGAGAACCTGATTTATTCCAGGAGTTTTCCAGGAATGATGCTGGAGAGGTGCTTGGAAGTTGGGAACTCCAGGGAGCACGGACAACTCCCTTTTTTTGGTGGCATTCCCATTACTTGGGCAACTCCTGCTTTTTCCCAGGAGGCTGGAAAGCACCTGGAAGCCCCCTGGGCTCCAAGGTCATGGACACGGTTTCCTGGTTTTCCTGAAGGTCTAATCCATGGATATTCTCACACAATAAGCAGAACAAGCTCCTCTTCATCCATTCAGGATCTCCCAGGAATTCCTCTCTCCATGGCGATTCCTTAATCCAGCTGTTTCCCTTCCACTTCCCGTGGCTTCTCCTTTTGCCAACTTCCTTCCACAGGTTTTCCATGGCAGTTTCCCATCTTCCACCTTCTCACTTCACACTTGGCTCTCCCAGATCCAAGAAACCCCTAGGAGCTGCATCGCCAACACCCATTCCCTCCTGTGAATCCCAGACCCCCCTAGGATGGGACAGGATGAGTGATCCCATGGATTCATCCCTCTGCACCCCTTCGCTGTGTAATTCCCTGGAAGTGCCCCTTCCAGCCAGGATTCCTCAATTTTCCTGGGATGCAGCTAAACCCCTAAATCCCAAACATTCCGTGACCCACAGGGAAACCCTTTAATCTCAACCACCGGGATTTGGGAATGATCCCAGCCCTTTCCCAGCCACACCTTGGCTGAGCTGGAAGACACTGGGAGTTCTTTCCCAAAAGCAGGGAGGGCGGATCCCGATCCCGACCCTCACCTGGGTGAATTCCTCGTCGGCGTAGATGTCAATCAGATCCACTCCCTCGGACATATTTCCAGAGGCGGGAAAAGTGGAAGCCCGGGCTGGGACCGGGATGGAGCCGGGACACGGAAGGTGCTCTGGGAAAAGGGGGGCCGGGGGGTTGAGTCAGCGAGGCCTTGGGAATGTGTTGGATGTGTCCCTACAAATTCCCCATTTCTCCCCTAAATCCCCAAAATTCCACCTTTCCTCCAAATCCCTGTATCAACCCAAATCCCCTTTTCCCACTGAATCCCTGTGTCTCCCCAAACTCTTCCCCCTCAAATCCCCTTTGTCCCCCAAATCCCTGTGTCCCTCCAAATCCCCACTTTGCCCCCAAATCCCTTCTTACTCCCCAATTCCCTCTTCCCCCCAAATCCTGGTGTCCCCCTCGAATTCCTTCTTTCCCCCTAAATCTCTTTTTTCCCTCCAAATTCCCTGTCTCCCCCAAATCCTCTCGTTGCCCCAAATCCCTGTGTCCCCCTGAAATTCCTCTTACCCCAAATCACCCTCTGTCCCCCCATATTCCCTCTGTTCCCCAAAACCCCTTG